AAAGTAACTTTAAAAATGTCTTTATAGGTAAGATCCAGTAGTTTGACAAAGTCCACAGTTATGGATAAACAAGGAAACTGATACTGCTGTAAAATGGACACTAAACTTCTATAAGTATGTGATATTATCCTGTGTTCTTCCTTAACCAGTAGCATGGGTGTACATCTGTACTTACCAATTTACCAAATGTTACGCAGAACTGTAGAATCAAATGATTCTCATTTTTTTGGTGCAGAGATATGAATGATGTTTGGTGACTATAGAAAAATGTAAGTTACACTCAGGATCACTGTTATTGCTATTGCCACTGATGATTCTCACAAAAAAAAGTTTCCATAAAAAAAATAATATGCTATTAATACACATTAGATAAGAACAGTTGTTCCATGAATGATTCTATGAAGCTATGCATCTTAGACCTCTTGAGCTGTGAATTATTAGCACTGTTTTCTATACTTATTCTCTTGATTGTTTTATAATTTCCACATTTATTTTCAACATGTATAAGTGTTATTCTTCAGTGATTTCCCAGAATTGTAAATCTTATTCTTTGATTTAAATACTGAAGCATATAATTAAGGTAATTACTAGTAGCAGCTTAAAAACCCAATTATCAGACTGTATTTAACATCTTTAAGAGCATGGTCATAAAGAGCGATATTTTTTACACCCTCCCTTTTTTTAACATTTAGATTTTATAAGGGTTTTATATCTCATCTGTCTATATTGCTTTCAAAGGAATAAGGTTTTTAGGTAGGTGGAAAAGCATTTGTAGGAAGTTAGATTTGAACTAAGTGGGTTGTTCAAGTTGTAATTGATGGCTTCCAGAATATTATTTGAGGAATGTTTGTGAATATAGGTGTGGGTCCTACTCAGTGCCATAGATAGAGTTCTCTCTCTCTGTAGGTCACCATTACATAGTAATTTTGATTCTTAATTTCACATTAAATTATTTGAGTGTATACAGACGTAAACTTTAAAATCTGTACATATATTATTTTGGTTTATTAAGATTAATAAATATTGCCGCTTTAAATTTTATTTATGCACATACTTAAGGACAGAAATGTCCGGGAAAACAATTGTGAAATAATGATATGTAACTTTTTAACTTTTTAAATAAATAACAAGATTTTTAATGTGTGTCTCCCTCAGGGTTGTTTAAAGTTTTTTTTCTCCCTCAAATATAAATAGTGGTGACTATGTTTTGTATCTTCTAGCACCAACTGCTGTAAGGCATTGCTGCAAATAATGCTTGAATAAAAGTGGCTAAGCCAACAACAAAATGAATACTTTTTATATTAGTTTTATAATCCTTGCATTTGAGAGCTTTCCAAATTGCACTTGCATTTAAACAAAACTGTTGCAGTTTTTACTGTATTTATTTTGTTATCCCTGTTTATGAAAATACTGCGCAGTTTCAAAGGCATGGTAAAAATATCAGTGTTTATATATTCTGTTTCCAAAACAGCTATACATACACTGTTCAGAGAAGAGCAAAATTCAAGCTTTAGAAAACATTCTAAGATATCTTGCATGTAATTTTGACATATCTGAAATAGGTTTTTGTATATTTATGGTGGGAGGTGGTTGGGAGCTTTTAGCAAAATATGGGATGTTAATTTTTGTACAGTCTGTGGGTATTTACACATATTTTTTAATGTATTAAAATTTGGTAATTATGTGCACATTAAATTAATAAAATAGTTAACTTCCTGTTATGATTTGTTAATTCCCTAAGGCTTTGGAATTTTTTTAAGAAACTTTATATCAGAAATGATATTGCATCTTTATATTTTTAAAATTATATTGCTGCTCAAGAATGGTACCCTGATGTCAAAAAGGCATACATTCATAATTGTACATTCAGCACTGTAAATAACCGTATGAAATTTTTTTTGATTGAAGCATTCAAAATAAAAATCTAAATGAATAAAATAGATTTCTTTTTTTTTTCTGTGTCTTGATACATGTTTCCTTTTTAGTTAAATGGGTTTATTTTCCTGCTTAATACTTTCCCATTTCTTTATTTTTTTTTATAACATTGGGGTTGTTATTTGTTGTTTTTTAAAAGATGTTTTTATTTATTTCAGAGATGAATGGAGAGAGAGAGAGAGAGAGAGAGAGAGAGAGATCAATGATGGCGCCTGGCCACAGTGGCTCAGTGGTTGAGCATCAACCCATGAACCAGGAGGTTCATTTCCGGTCAGGGCACATGCTTGGGTTGTGGGCTCAATCCCAGAGGGGGGTGTGCAGGAGGCAGCCAATTAATGATTCTCATCATTGATGTTTCTATCTTTCTCCCTCTCTCTTCCTCTCTGAAATAAAAGTATATTTTTTAACAATTAAAAAAAAGAAACATCAATGATGAGAATCATTGATTGGCTGCCTCCTTCACAATCAGGGATTGAGCCTACAACCCAGACATATGCCCTGACTGGGAATCAAACTGTGACCACCTGGTTCCTAGGTTGACACTTAACCACTGAGCCCCACAGCCAGGCTAACTGGGTGTTTGAAGGAAATAAATACAGCATTCCACACTTATGTCTGTGACCATCCGCGGAAACCTATCAGTCACATACAGTGTAGAGCCAAATGTTAAGTGTCAGGAGGTCTGAGGGAAATGGTGAACTATAAAATTAGGGAGTTAGTCTCTTAATAGTTGGGAAGATCAAAAGCTAACACTGTGTAAGACGTGGTGCGTTTGAAGTGAGGTGGCATCTGTGGGTGCCAAAGGAGCCCTCCAAGGGGAGGGAAGCTGTGGAGCTAACTGCTGGCCACAGAAACCCCAGAGAAGGCAATTTGTGTCGGGCCTTTGTCCTTGGGAAGGTGCCTCCTAGTATGGCAGGCTCTGCAGGAGACACGCATCCTCTGCTATGGGCTGTGTGGCTGGCTGTGATCTGCTGGATTTGGGTGGTATGAACACCACTTTGAGCTCAAGTTCTTCGATGCACTGTGGTTTGTATAGCAAATGATCATGTCCCCACAGCCTGCTGATGTGGGCACAGTTCCTCTCATCTTTCCTTCCTCTTACCCCCTTACTGCCAGTTGCTTTATTCTTAGCGTATACTGCAGGGAAGGACAGAAGGAATTCTATGACTTTGAAATGAGACTGTCCCTGTTCATAGTTGTGGTTGTGGTTACTCTGCAGGTGTTACTCCTGCTGTGCCCGGCCTCTGTCCCCTACGGGGGAAGAAAAGCATGTCGCATCCAGGCAGACGCCTGCTTTTAAATGGCCAAACCCCATAGGGCAGGGCTCTGTGACTTACACAGAAGCTATTAGGACGGCACATTTCCGACCTGTTTCATAGATCCCAGCTCTAAAGACTTGAACACTAGAGCCGTCAACTTCATTGCTCAGAATGATTCTCGGCACCGTGTTTATTTGTTCAGTGGATGGACTCACAGTGTTGCTCCATTGTCTGCAACTTCTGGACCCAGTTCTCCCTTCTTGGGCAATCAGAATGCCCTGCTCTCTTCAAAGAACAAAACTTGGAGGTCTTCCTGTGGAAATAGACTAAAGAAGCTTGGCTGGAATTTGACTCCAAGTCCCTGATTAGTCCACAGCACTTCTTCCCAAGCTCTCCATCACATTGGCTCCCCAGCATTTTCGCTTGGTGTGCCTATGCATGTCTGACTCAGCGTGTGTTCTGGGCTGTTTCTTCCCCTGACTGGAGCTGAAAGACGGCCCATGATCCCTGACAGAGGGAGTGACTTCCCCTGTGCTTTAGGACTTCATGACTTAGAGGTAACTTCAGTCAGTACAGCATTTACTGGGCTTTAACTACATTTGGCTCCAAACGCTGCTTGGATTTCAGTGCTTTTTCCACATCTGCAAATGTCATGGATCGGGGAGTTTTTCTCAACCAGGATGAAATAATTTAAGGACCACTTCTGTACCACTCCATTCAATGATTCCAGAGGTTAATGTGTATTCTTTCACAATTCAAGCCTTGACTCTCTCTAGTGTTTTAATACCTTTATCCTTATGTTTTTTTTCCTTAATGATGCCATTTTCCCTCCCAAATCACTTTATTTTTGCATTAAAATTTTTAAAATACAATTGTGATATAAGCATATTTAGTAAAAATTTAAACCTCACAGAAAGGTATGTAAGGAAGTCCACCCGTTCCCTGGCTTCTCCCCCAAAAGGTGAATACTAAAGTTTCTTGGTGTATCATTGTAGAAAAAAATATGTATATATCCTCATGTAAATATATTTTTAAATGCTACACAAGTGGAATCCCGTTGCATATGCTCTGCTGCCCTTGCTTCCTGTCATTTAGTGTATCTTTGAAAGTATGTCAGCACTTGGAGCTCAGCCTTACTCACCTTAAAGTCTGCCAGGCATCCCACTGCATGGATGCACCATAATTTAAACAACTTGTTCCCTGTTGATGGTCATTTAGATTTTTGTTTCTTTTTCTGTCACAATTCCACAATAAGTGTTTTTGTGCACATATCTAAATGAGCATATCTATGAAGTGTATTTTTATCGGTGGAATGGCTGGACACAGAATATACATATTATAAATTTGGTTGATACTACTAAATTTTTCTCTGAAAAGTTTGCCCCAATTTATATGCCCACCAATGTAGTAAGAAAATGTAACATTAAAAGTTATTTCAGCGTGGGGTACGGTGCAGGGTTTTCAAACAGCTCAGAAACAGACCCACACACTGATGAGGTGCTGGCAGTGCTGACACAGCGCCCAGGGAAGAAGGGATTTACATAAACAGGGCTAGGACAGCTGGTTATCCTAATGGGAAAAATAAACCGGACTCTACTCATGTCATACACAAAAACCAACTCTAGATGGATTAAATAGACCTAAAAGTGGAGGACAAAGCTATAAACTTAAGGCATTACAGGGAAATAGTTTTCTGATTTTGGAGGAAAGGGGGGATCTATTTTAATAGACACAAAAATCACAAATTAGAAAAGATTGATAACTGCCTACCACAAGACTTATGTCAAAAGACCTCATACAGAAGGTGAAAAGGCAAATCACAAACTAGTTGAAGATATTCATAACACCTATAACCAATAAAGGATTCGTATCCAGAATATATTAAAATGCCTATAATTCAGTTTTTTAAAGACATAAGAATACATATTTTGCATATAGACAAATAGGCAAAAGAAAACAATTTCTCAGATGAAGTGGCCCTTAAAATATGAAGAGGCTCGAGTTCATTAAAAACCACACTGACAATCATTTCACATTAATTGCAAAAATACATTTAAAAGATCAATTCCAAGTATGGGCAGAGCTGTGAAGCACAGGGACTGTCCACACTGCAGGTGGCAGCATGTACTGGGACAGCTGCTTTGGGAGGCCGTCTGACAGTCCTAAGTGAAACTGAACATGTGAACAGCCTTCAACTCACCCGGTGATGCCTAATTGAACATCTTTGAGAATGTTTTCAGCCTTATTATTTCTAAAAAGAAATTGAGTGGCGCATTTGAGGGTAGTCTTAGCCTTATTATTCACCCAAGGAGGAGGGGAGCTGGATTAGAGACTGTGGCAAGAAAAGGAAGCTGGGAGGAAGCCTGGCCCCGCTAGGGGTGTGGCAGCTGCAATGTATCACTAAGCTTTCCTAGCATCACAGAGTTACGTTGTGCCATTTATGGAGAAACTTCTCTCTCTCCCGTTCTTGTCATTCAGCCTTGACAGTAGGATCTAGGTTATATATAGTTGCTTTCAGTTTGAAAATATTTGTCATTAAAAATCCCAACTATGCCTTCTGAGATAGGGCCCTTTCCATGACTTTTATTCTGCTAAAGTCTTTATCCTGAGGATGCAGGGGTACCGCCCTTTTCCTTTGGAAAGTGCCGAATCACAGGCGAGGCTCTAAGCCTTTCAGTTGCTTTGGGGTGCAGTACCATTTCAGGTAAGGCCAAATACTTTAAAATTAGTATGGGCAACTGGAGGGCTTGGTGAGTTCATGTGTGCATAAGAAATAATAGGTAGCTACAAGAAACGATTTGTGTAAAATTACACTGGGGAAACATTGTTTTGGCAGATTAGTATTACTGTGTGTATTTCACAGATGATTCAATGGCAGAAGTATTAATTTTTAAACATCTTAGAAATGATAGCTTCTTATTTATGGTTCAATCAGATATACTACTCTCCAATTCTAGCTCTGTGACCCTGGTTAAGTTCCTTAAACTTCCCATGCCTTCGTTTCTTCATTCTTTGGGGATAGTAATAGTATGTACCTCATATGGTTAGGACTGTTAGGTAAAGATGAAATGAATGGATTCAAATAAAGTGCTGGGAAGAACGCCTGGCATAGAGTGGTAAGTATTACTACCTGCGTTTCCCGGTGTGGCTGAGGGTGTTCGCTGTTTGGGGGGGTGTCCATTGTTGTAGTAGAGGAGTTGGTATTGCAGATATAACATGGTTGTGACCAAAGGAATCAGGTGGTGGCTGGCATTTGAACACTTTGCAGTTCCCTCCGTGACTTGGTTACAACCACCCCTGGGTAAGGATAGAGTCAAGAGCAGAGAGCTATGTTCACGGTGGGCACTGCTCTGCGAAATCTGGAGCCTGAATGTGAGAATAATTATTTAGTGAGTTCTCTCTACGTAACGAATTGGCTTTTCTCTGGCTTGCAAACGCTCTCCTTTCCATGCTTTGCACGGAGAGTGGAAAATCAGTAAAACAAAAGAATGAGACGTGTGCGTGTAGAACGAATGAATGTCTTCTTACCACCCAGGAAAATCTGCACCCCTAAGCAAAGTGGGAGACTTACTTGTCTATGGATTACAGAGGCAGTGACAATCCTGGCGAAAGAATCCTGCCTCTGCAACGGTAAATGCCCAGGGTTACAAGAGCGCACGCGAACGTTTGCCCTTGTGTGTTGTCCACAGGCATCCGACATGCTGAGGGCCGCCCTGCTGTGCGCGGTGCTCGCGCTCCTGCGCGCGCAGCTGGTCTCCTTCCCCTGCCCGCCCGCCTGCAGCTGCTTCGTCCGGGACGCGGCGCAGTGCTCGGGGGGCGACGTGGAGCGCATCGCCGCGCTCGGCCTGCCCACCAACCTCACGGTCATCATGCTGTACCGCATGGACCGCGGCACCCTGCGGAGTGACAGCTTCCGCGGCATGACGGTCCTGCAGCGCCTCTTACTGGCCGACAGCCACATTTCCGCCGTCGCCCCCGGCGCCTTCAACGACCTGATAAATCTAAAAACCCTGAGGTTGTCGCGCAACCAAATCCCGGATCTTCCAGGCTCCCTCTTCGACCAGCTGGTGCTCCTGGAACAGTTGTTCTTGAGCCACAATAAACTAACGCGCATTGACCAAAACCTGTTTCGGAACCTGGTTAACCTGCAGCATCTCCTTCTGAACAACAATCAACTCGTTTCCCTCCCCGCCGGCCTCTTCGCGCACCTGGGGAACCTGAGGGTGCTGGATGTATCGGGAAACAATTTGACTCACTTGCCGCAGGGGTTGCTCGGAGCCCAGGCTAAGCTGGAGAGACTGGTGCTCCACTCCAACCAGCTCGTCTCTCTGGACGCGGGGCTACTGCGCAGCCTGCGCGCCCTGGCCGAGCTGCGGCTCGACAGAAACCGCCTCCACTCCCTCGCGCCCGGGGCCTTCGACCAGCTCCGCGACCTGAGCATTTTAACTCTTTCCAGAAACCAGCTGCGGTCCCTGCCCTCTGCACTCTTCCTCCATTTGCACAATCTGACCTTCTTGGCGCTGGATGAGAACCCGCTGGAGGAGCTCCCGGGCGTGCTCTTCGGGGAGATGGCGGGCCTGCGGGGGCTGTGGCTGAACCGCACCGAGCTGCGCACCCTGCCGGACGCCGCCTTCCGAAACCTGAGCGGCCTGCGGGCCCTGGGGCTGACCCTGAACCCGCGCCTGGGAGCGCTCCCCGAGGGCGCCTTCCGCGGCCTCGGCCAGCTGCGCCAGCTGTCGCTCAGCCACAACGCGCTGCGGGCCCTGCCCCGCGGGCTCTTCCGCGACCTCCGCAGCCTGGAGCAGGTCCGGCTCGAGCACAACCTGCTGCAGACGCTGCCGGGCGACGTGTTTGAGGACCTGCCCGGGCTGGCGGAGGTCCTGCTGGGGCACAATCCCTGGCGCTGCGACTGCGACCTGCGGCCGTTCCTGGCCTGGCTGAGACAGCACCCCGGCCTCGTGGGCCGCGCGGAGGAGCCCCCGCGGTGCCAAGGGCGGCGCCCTGGTCTGCTGCTGCAGGCCCTGTCGGACGGTGACCTGGGGTGCCCGAGCACGGGGGGCCCGCCTCCCCACTCTCTCGCCCCCACCTGGCCGGCCCTGCCAGTGGCCCGCGATCGCCCAGCCTGGGTGCCAACCAGCGCAGAGCCCTGGGCGCGGGCCCAGCCGGTGGCCGAGGGCCAGGGTCAGGACCACCGCCTGTTCTGGAGTCTTTATATTCTGCTTTTAGCCGCTCAGGCCGTAATAACCGGGGTCATTGTGTTTGCTATGATGAAACTCTGCCGGCTCTTCCGAAAATTAATCAGAGAGAGAGCTCTGGTCTGAGTCAACGGGAAAACCTTGTAATGAATGAGAAGGCGACCAGAGTATTGTTAGATGTGACTGGGAGAATCCAGACAGGTTGCTTCCGTCTTCCTTTCTCTTGTCTCTGCCGCCCTCCCCTCTGCCCTCACACCCACCTCTCTGTCTCCTCCCCCTCCCTCCCCTTTCCTAGAATTGCCTTTACATGTGTGAATTGTGACTGCTTGCTTTGCTTCAGCCTTCACCGTGGGGGCCTGGGAATGCGGGTTGTGTTCACCTCATCTCTGTGCCCCCCCTTGATGGTGGAGAAAGGGTTACCTTCAGAGTTTACTGAGGAAGGGAGGGTGCGGGCGTCAGCCACCTCCAGGCCGCGGTCTGGCTCCTGTCTGGCAAATATGCAATAAATGAATAAAATGAATACACCCGATCCAAGTGATAGTGCCTTTTCCTGGGGCAAGGAGGAATTGTTCTCTTTATTTACTTTTGCTTGCAAAGCAGAACTCTTCCAGTTCTTTCCCTTGTCCTACGTTTGTTCTCACTGTTTGTATGTCTGTGGGCTGCTTGGGAGAGTGTGGGACTCCATTCACTCAGCGCAGGTTTGCAAAGCAGGCCTCTGTGATGGGCGGAGAGAGAAAAGAGCCAGGCCTGCCCTCCAGGAGTGCAGCACCAAGACAGGAGCCAGGACAGTGGTCAGGCCTGAGAGCCAAGGAGCAGGAGGAGGGGCCCTGGGGAGGGTGGGTGGAGCAGTGGGAGCTCACCAGGAGGTCTAAGTGTGTATTTGTGTGTGTGTGTGTGTGTGTGTGTGTGTGTGTGTGTGTCCCACAGGGTGGGGGTGGGGGCATTGATTCAGAGAGTCCCTGTGTGTGTGCTGCAAAGACTTATGAAACTACTATGAGAGAGAAGTGTATCATTGACACTGGGTTGGCTTTCATTTCCTGAACTAAATGCTACCACGTTTCACAAGCATTTATGGGAGCACCTCACATGTGACACGAGTTCATGAATGTAATGGCAAGCTTGGTTTCTAGTTTATTATGCTTGATCACATTCTCATTTATTCTTCTGATTGAAAGCAGTAAAAACCTTGTTGCTTTCAATGAATGCCTGTGAGCAGCAGTGGCTAAAACACCGGTGGAGCGTTGACAACCGTGGGTTCAAATCCCAGCTCCACCCCTTACGAACTGCATAGGGCTTTGGGCGAGATACTTAGGTTGTCTAAGCCTGGGTTTCCTCGCCCCCGGGAAGGGAGAAAGACCACCTGCTTCAAAGAGTGTGAGAATCAGGCATTAAAGCATGCGATAGCAGCCCAGGGCCCAGCGAACGGTAACTGCTCGAACGTTAGCTCTTATTAGAGGCCAAGCAATTACCTGTGGTACTGCCGTCCTGACTTCCAAAGAAGAGCTCTGGGTTGCTTTTTCTTCTCTCTGTGTGTAAAGGTGAGAGCGAACTTTCTCAAGCTGAAGGTTACCTTCACCCCAGTTTGTCTTCACGTGTGTGCGGTCTCAGCCCTGTGCAGTCAGGCCCTGTGCTCCCAGTCCAGAGCAATGGATCCTCAGAACAACACCACGGGGCACAGAGCAGGGATTGCTGGGTTCCTGGCATTTGTAGGTGCACTTCTCCTTCACGGCCAAGTTCAAATGTCTCCTCCTGGTCAAGCCTTTCCCGACTGCCCAGGCAGACTGCAGTGTTCCCCTCGCAGGCCATCAGGCACCCTCCCCACCCCATCTGCTCCTGGTCACCCTTCACTCTGGTGTGTGTATGTGTTCATGTGCCTCCTTGTATCATTTATTTCTACTGTTCCAAATTTTGCAACCACCGATAGCATAAAACCCAGACTTTTTTGATGAGCATAGTCCTAACCACTATGCTCTCAGGCAAGCTGCCTCTCTCTCTAAGCCTCCATTTCCTTATCTGTACAGTGAGGATAGTAACGGTCCTTACATGGTTGCAAAGACGGAATGAAATAACTCAGGCCAAATAGTTAAGTCAGTGGCTGGTGCACGTGGGCCTCAATAGAAGTTGGCTATTACTATGATAGCTCTTTTGAACACGCTGTGTTTTAACATATCTCGTTGCCTTTGCAGATGTTCATTCATTAGCAAATATTTTTTGAGTACCTCCTCTGTACCCAGCCCTCTTCTAAGTGGAGGATGGAGCAGTGGTTAAAACAAAGTACATACTTCCACTGGGTTTACATTTTGGTGTTCCCTCCAATGAAAACTATCTTCCCTGGTCATTATCTTTAAACATTCAGGAAAGTTAAGAGAATAATTTTGGACTCCTGAACCTGCTTTTTAAAATCTTTATTCTTTGTTCTATTTGCTTCAGATATTTTTTTAACAGAATAAAATATGACAGATAAAGCTGAAGGCTCCTGTATATTGCTTCCCTGTTCTCATTGCGCTCCTTCTCTCCTCACAAGTAACCTGCTTAATAAATGTGGCGCTTCCCATCCTCAAACATGTTTTTAATATTCTTACCACATGTGTCTACAACTCTGAACGAGCTGAAGTAAGACTGCCTGTTTTCAAATTTTATATAAATGATGCTACTCTGCATAGAGCATTCTTCAACTGGTTTTTTTTTTTTTTCTGGGCTAACGTACTCTTGAGATTTACCCATATGAAGCATTTGACACTAGGTCATTCATTTGAATAGCTGCATAATAGTCTATGAATGAACATACCATAATTTATCTGTTCTCTTGTTGATGGACAATTATTCCCAGTGTTTTTCTTTTCTTTTTATTCCCCACTACTCTACATCTTCCCCAACTCCTAATAATGTCAGAATTTTTAATTTCTGTCAATCTGATAGCTATGAAATGGTAACTCATTGTTGCGTTATCTTTCATTTCCCTGATAACTAGTGAAATTAAATTTATTTTTTCAATGTTTGTTGAACATTCAGATTTCTTCTTTCAAGAATTATCTGTGCATACACGTTGATCAATTTATAATGGGGCATTTTGCCTTTTTCCTTTTGATTTGTAGGACTTTTTACATATCCTGGACAAAATCCTCTGTAAATGGTAGTTCTTACAACTATCCTGTTTCAGTTTGTAGCTTCTTTTTTTTTTTTTAACTTTTTAAAAAAATATATATTTCTTTATTGATTTCAGAGAGGAAGGGAGAAGGAGAGAGAGATAGAACATCAATGATGAGAGAGAATCAGCGATCGGCTGCTTCCTGCACGCCCCCGACTGGGGATTGAGCCCGCAACCCAGGCATGTGCCCCTGGCCAGAATCGAACCTGGGACCCTTCAGTCCGTAGGCTGACGCGCTATCCACTGAGCCAAACCAGTGAGGGCAGTTTGTGGCTTCTTATTTCACTTTACTCATCCTGTCTTTTGTGGAACAGAAGCTTTCATTTTAATGTAGTCAAATGTAGCAATATAACTTTACGGTTGGGCTTTTAAAAAATCTTGTTTAGGAAATTCTCCCTATTGTGACGCACTGCCTCCTTGCTTTGCACTGGGTGAGCTTGGTGGAGTGTTTTTTTTTTTTTTGTTTTTTTTTTTTTCGGAATTCTGGACTGCCCTGTTTTAAGTTGCAGTGGCCAGCTGCAGAAGAAGAAAAGAGGTTATGGCAACAAGAAAGGGGAACTTTTGACCCAGGGAAACAGATCTGGCTTGGATCCAGTCAGGAACCAATGTTATCTCTAGAGACTCAATTACTTGTACTTTATCATGTGCATGAGCTAATACACTGGGGTCCTGAAAATATGATTTACTGGGAACCTTCTACTGTAGCTCACAAAGTGCATAGCAGATGTCTGTCTTTCCAAATATAACTCTGAAAATTCATTTCGTGGGTCCCAATGGCATTTCCCACTTCCTTGAGATCCATTGAGGTACGGTAATTGGATTTTATCCAAATGCCTCCATCGCAAAATACGAACGTGTGCTAGTTATGATTTGCATGCTTGTTTGTTTGTTTTCCCACTGGGTGGAGGCATTTCTTTGCAGGAAAGCAACAGCCTTAACAGTAGGTAAATTATTGTTGGGAAAAATTAACTCCCAATTGGGAATTCCCTCTGAGTTACAGTAACTGAGGGATTCATCCACTGGGCAAATAATGCAATCCATTTGCAGTATTTGGCTTATTCTGCAGTATTTTCATTATGCCTATCACCCCAGTTCTCAGGGTTGGTAGAACATGCAAATGGTACAGTTAAAGCTCAACTAGTCAAATTTTCAGAAGCTTTTAGTTTCCCTTAGCCAAAAGCTCTCCTTATGGTTCTTCTCAACCTGAAATCTACTTCTTTTGGTAAACACATAGCTTTTCTCCTCATTAAATAGTCATGGGTCCTATGCATCTGGATGAAAGGACATATGAAGCAACCTTAGTAAAAGGAGACATTCTGTATTATTATCAGGAACTTACTAACCAGCTTACAGGGACTGGTTAATAAACGGCTACATTAGTGATGTTCATTTCACAGTGCTCTCTCAGCAGACAAGACTTCGAGGACCATGACTTACAACCAGGAGATTTTGTCCACTGGAAAATTTAAGACTTTCCCCAACATCAGTGGAAGGGATCTTATCAGGTGCATAACCACGAATAGATGCCTGCCCCTGTCAGTGACATTTGCCTCCTCCCACAGCTGAGATCAAAGACTTCTTGAGGATACTTAGCCCATTAATTTTCATTCTTTCTTCATTTTCAGAATATAAATCTCCCTTAAGTTCTGCTTGAACAGCAGTTCCAGCTTTAAACTGTGGTATTATTGTTAATGTTAATTGTCTGTTATTGTCTAATTCTGTATTTTCTCATTTCCATTATGATTTCTTCTTTGAGCTGAGTACTTAGAAGTGTGCTTTTTATTCCAAGTTTTTAATCTTTTTATTATTGATTTCTGACTGAATTGTGGTCTGTATGATCCCAATTCTTTGAACATTTTTGAAACTTCTTTTATAACCTAGCTAGTACATAGTCAATTTAGGGAAATGTTCTCCATGTACCTGAGAAAAAAAATTTTCTTTTAAATTGTTCAAGATATTATATCTCCACCAGATAAAGCTTGTTAATTGTGTTGTTCAAGACTTCTGTAAACTTACTAAGTTTTTGGTTTGTTGATTAATTACAGGAAAAAAATTTTGATTGTGAATTTGTAAGTTTCTATTATATTTCTATCAATTTCTATCTACTATATCTATATCTATATCATCTATATACCTCTAATGAGCCACCTAGAAATTTTAAATTTCTGGTTAATCTAATCTTTTATAAAGTTATTTATGTAGTTTTTTTAAAAGTTTTTTATGTAGTTATATAATTTTTTACTTTAAGGTATAAATCTTCAATCCTATAATATTTTTTCAAGTCTATTTTATGTATTTATTTTGAAACCACACCAGCTTTCTTTCTATCTACATAGTATATTTTTTCCATTCTTAATTGTCACCTTTTTTCTTTATTTTTACTTTAGGTGTGTCTTTTGTAGGCAGCATGAAGTTGGATTTTTCTAAATTTTATTTAGATAGCATCTTTCTATTAATAACTGAAATTGATCTGCTTATATTTATTTTAGTGGTTACTGATGTATTGTTACTACAAAGTTATTTTTTTGGATATTTTTTATTGATTTCAGAGAGGAAGATAGAAGGAGAGAGAGATAGAAACATCAATAATGAGAGAGAATCATTGATTGACTGCCTCCTGCACATCCCACACTGGGGAGTGAGCCTGCAACCTGAGCATGTGCTCTTGACCGGAATTGAACTTGGAACCCTTCAGTCTGCAGGCTGACAATCTATCCACTGAGCCAAACCAGCTAGGGCATTTTTTGTTTTCTATTTCTCATTTTCTTTCTTTGTTTCCATGCCCCCCGCCTCCCCATTCTTTCATGCCCTCTGGTGGATTGGTAAGTTTGAATTACTCTCTCATATGTGCTGGATTTTATTTTTGTTGTTGATATTCTTTCAGTGGTTATCTTTTTTAAACATCCATACTTAATTATAATTTTTTCTAACCAATTTTAAAGTATCCAAACTTTCTTTTCTATTTCTAAACATGGGATGGATTTTACTATTTGAACTGCCCAGTGAGCACAAACAACCATCTTTGTATCTTGGCGAAGGAGAGAGAGAGAGAGAGAAACATTAATGTGAGAGTGCAATATCAATTGGCTGACTCCTGTAACCCCCCCCCCCCCCCCCCCCCCCCCCCCCGCTTCACTGAGGATGGAGCCCACAACCGGGGCATGCACCCTGACCAGGAATCAAACTGGCAACCCTTTGGTGCATGGGACGATGCCCAACCTACTGAGCCACAACAGCCAGGATGTTATTTAACTTTTGGTTCGACCTTTTAAAACTTGTTTTTTCAAAATTTTGTATGTAAGTTTAATTTATTGATGTATTATGCATATATATATATATATATATATATATATATATATATATATCTCCCCTATATAATAAAAGGGTAATATGCAAATAGACCAAACAGCAGAACAACCGAACAACCAATCAAAGCATAATATGCTAATGATATGCTAAGGCTGCTCAACCGCTTGCTATGACATGCACTGGCCACCAGGGGCAGACAGTGAACTGGTTGACCAGTTGCTATGACATGCATTAACCACCAGGGGGCAGACAGTCAACTGGTCGACCAGTCGCTATGACATGCACTGACCACCAGGGGGAAGATGCTCTGATGAGTAGGTTAACTTGCTGCTGGGATCCAGCCAATCAGGACTGAGCGAGATGGACTGGACATATCCTGAAGCCCTCCAATGGTCCCTCCCTGGCCCGATCGTGCACTGGTGGGGTCTGGCCTACACCCTCTTGCATTCCGGGACCCCTTGGGGGATGTCGGAGAGCCGGTTTCAGCCTGATCCTGCAGGCCAATCCCCTTGGGAGGGCGGCAGACGCAGGGCTCATGGCTGGTGACTGCTGCTGCAGCAGTGCAAGCCTCTCCCAATCAGGACTGATTGGGCACTAGCCCGCAGCAGGCACAGTGGGGCCGGGATGAGCAGGAGCGGCAGGTAGGAGCAGCAGGCAGCATTGGACTGCGGGTTCTGGCCCAATCCCTCCAGGCCACCCAGAGGGACACCCCCAGTGCACGAATTTCGTGCACTGGGCCTCTATATATATACACTAGAGGCTCGGTGCATGAATTCGTGCACTGGGGGGGGGGTGTCCCTCAGCCCGGCCTGCACCCTCTCCAATCCGGGACCCCTTGGGGGATGTTCAACCGGCAGTTGGACATCCCTCTCCCAATCCGGAACTGCTGGCTCCTAACTGCCTCTGCCTGCCAGCCTGATGCTCCTAACCCCTCTGCCTGCCTGCTTAATCGCCCCTAACTGCTCCCCGGCTGGCCTGATTGCCCCTAACAGCCTCTGCCTTAGCCTCTGCCACCGCAACTTTGTCCAGAATGACATCCGGAATGATGTCCAGAAGATTGTTCGGTCTAATTAGTATATTATGCTTTTATTAGTATAGATGGTTGAATCATATGAAATGTCTAATATTCAACTATTTTTTACATAAAAAACCCAACAGTTTTATGTGATTCAACCTTAAAGTTCTAGCACCATATGTAGTTCTTCTAATGATTATGTTTGTAACTTTAAATTTCACCTTTATGCCTTGTTCCATTAACTATTGATGATCTCTATTAACACCTTGCTCTGTAAGTAGACATCAGTGTTCCTATTTGTCCCAACCTCTCCTTTTCCCTTCCAACTCCCAATTTCTGTCAAGATTGATGACTTTTATGTTCTCTTATCATAATTAAAATTTTGGTGATTGTTGAAAAATCTTGAAAATAA